CAGAGATCGACATGATGCTTCGCAGGCAACCCTAAGTCCTAAACCCGAACCCTAAACACTAAACCCTAAACCCCGAACCCTAAACCCTTCGAGGGTGGTCGCTTGACGCAAGACCTAAGACATGTTTATCGAACCCTTGTAGAGGCAATGCGATGTTACAGAATCTTCTCAAGCCAAGGAGTGGAAAACAAGTGTTCCCACATCTTCCAAGTCTATAGCGCCCTAAACCCTAAACTCTAAACCCTAAGCCCCAAAAGAACACAACCCTAAACCCTAAACCCTAAACCCCTAAACCAGATTCGGAAGACCGGCAGAAACCGGGTGGCCCTCGAAGCAACCTCTATCCACAGCCATAAAGAAGGGATGCTTCTAAAATTGAAGGGTCTGCATTAGTGTTTGGGGCAACATTGCTTTTTGGCGGTTTAGGGCGCTTTAAAGCTTTAGGGCTTTAGGGTTTAGGTTCAGTTGAGAGATTCGGATACCGGGCCTAGGATGCAAAAGGCTTCGTAGTTGGAGTCAAAATTCAGGATACCCTTGGGGGGTATAAGGCCCCTTTCCAAGGGAGTCATAAAGTAGGGTTAAGAAAAGTCACCGTTAAGGGGTCTCCCTAATAAAACTACCTACTCAGCAGCCCGCAGCCCCGAACAAGGCGTGGAAGTCGAGTGAGGGTTGCATTGGATGCTTCTTGCAACCAAGGTGTTGGCGAGAAATTTGGGGTTTGGGGTTTAGCCTTGAATCAAGCTCTGAGCTAGGGAAACAGACCCTAATCCCTTCCCCAAAGCCCCGACCATGTCAGCCGAAAAAACAGTGCCGCTGGCAATCGTAGTAAGCATTCATAAAGCACGAGGAACAATAAACATGGCCATAAAAAAAAACAAAGCCCTAAACCACCCAATATTTGGGATTCATATGGGGAACCCGAACCCCGGTGATCCTGTATTTCACTCCTAGAACGGAAAGAGCTGGTGTCCTCCTTTGAAGAGCGGAAGACAAGGTCGTTCGCCTGCATATGTAGCATTTAGGGTATAGAAGTTTAGGGTTTAGGGTTGAGTACAGAACCCTAAACCCTAAACCCTAAACCCTAAGTGGAGGGTTTCGGGAATACTTAGACGAGGCAGGATTTTTTTCTGTAGGGAAGACTGTTGCCAAGTATCACACAACTGCAGAACATTCGCCTTAGGGTTTAGAGCATACTTAACCCGAACCCTAAAAACTCAAACCCTAAATCCTAAATTCCCTGAGCTGAGCTGTAAGTTCGGGTTCTCTCTGTGAGAAGACTGGGTGCAGACTCAGACCACGTCAACCCAGAACAGCAGACTTTCAAATGGTGATGGCGCAAAACTGAAACCCTAAACCCTAAACCCTAAACCAAAACCCTAAACCCTAAACCCTATAAACCCTAAACCCTAAAGCCTAAACCGAACTTCCGTCTGCAACGTGCGCAGGTCCTCCAGCCCTCTCAAAATCTCGAAATCCTCAGCGTCAACCCTCTACCTCGGGCCTGCTTGAAAAGCTGAGTATGGTAGGGTTTAGGGTTTATGGTTTTTAGGGTTTAGGCTTTAGGGTTTAGAGTGTTGGGTCTAGGGTTTGGGGTTTAGGGTCGTGGGTCTAGGGTTCAGGGTTTATAGAACAACAAGAAACCCACTAGCGAGAACAAACACAGTGCCTTGACACATATCCTTGCTTCCAGTACCACCAACATTGGTCTACTGCTACTACTCGAGATGATGCTGCATAGGGTTAAATCGCTTCCCCACTAACAGTACACCCCCCTCCCCTAATATAAAAACCTCCCGGCCCAGGGATTTTGCAGTTTCGGGCCCACAATTTAAATTAAGTTAAATGCATTAGGCCTAGGGTCCTAGGATTGTATTAGTTTTAATGGAGCCAAGATGACAGCACTACTAAACGGCTCAAGGTTTAGGGCTTAGGGCTTTAAGGTTTTAGTGTTCGGGTTTAGAGCTCAGAGCTTTGCGCTTAGGGTTTCCCAAAGAGCCCAACACCCCTTGATTAAGGAATATACCTTAAGTTATAGGTGGGCCTTAATATATTATATGGTTTAAGGTCTATTCCTTAATTAAGGGGTCTTGGGCTCTCTGGGCTAGGGGCTTAGGGCTTGGGGCTGAAGGTTTCGGGCCTAGGGCTGTAGAGTTTAAGGCTCAGGGCTTAGGGTTTCAAGAATTTCTCAAGGCTTTAAGTGACTATTGGAGGCTGCAGGCTTCCAGGAGTCGAGGTAGTTTTCATATTAGAGTGATACTGTTTGGGAAATAATGGTGAAGATACTTCGCGAGTTCAGGCTAGGGTTATAATTGGGTTTGATTCAGGGGTTTTCGGGCTAGGATAACAAGCAACTAGGAGTCGATGCAATTTCATGTTTAGGGCAGGTTTTTCGGGGTTTGGCAGTTGTTGTTGGGCTTGTTATTAGGCCCTCCCTCCCTCCCTCCCGCCCTCCCCCCCTCCCAAACGAGGCAGGCTGACTGTCTGATCTACAGCCAAAAACGGCTGCGTAGGAAACGGTCGTTGGTTAAGTACTTACTTGTCTGACTGCCTGGTTCATTAACTATTACTGTCAACCCCGGATGCACCGAAACCCCCCTAGTATAAAAACCAAAGCCCCGGAAATCAGTGTTTATGTTAGGGGGTTCGTTTAACATTAGGGGGAAACGATTATTACTGTAAACTCGTGTGAATGCCATGTATCCTGCGATATATGCGCATACCGTATAATATTCGTGGCTCACGTCCGTCGTGTAAGTTTAGATGCATCTGTGTGCTGTACAAACAAACAAACAATCAAACAAACAAACACACCCCAAAGCCTAAACCCTAAACCCTGCCTAACTAACTAACTAACTAACTAACTAACTAACTAACTAACTAGCTAGCTAGCTAGCTAGCTAGCTAGCTAGCTAACTAACTAACTAACTAAATTGTAAATAACTAACTAACTAACTGACTGACTGACTGACTGACTAACTGACTGACTGACTGACTGACTGACTGACTGACTGACTAACTAACTAACTAACTAACTAACTAACTAACACACTAACAATCTTACACACTAACAGACAGACGGACAGACAGACAGACAGACAGACAGACAGACAGACAGACCGACCGACCGACCGACCGACAGACAGACAGACAGACAGACAGACAGACATGCACAGGATATAGTGAAACTCCGTCCCCCGGTCCCCCCCTTCCACAACCACAAAGCAACAATGACTTAGGGCTGTAAGGGCTTTAAGGGTTTAGGGTTTAGGGCTTTAAGGGTTTAGGGCTGAGGGCGGCCTTCCCGATAACCTCGGCCGACACCCGGCGCAGGTTCTCAAGTGCCTCCCCTGACCAATGAGTGGCTTTAGGGCTTCATGTTCGATGTTTCGGAGGTTCCGGATCTAGGCTTTAGGGTTGGTGCGAAGGTCTAACGGTTTAGGGTTTAGGGTCTAGGGTTTAGGGTTGGTGCGAAGGTCGGCGGCTCAAGTTGCAGGGCTCTGAACAGGCTTTAGGCAGGGCCCTCCACGCGTTAAGTAGAGACCTGGATTCAAGCTTTCGCTTTTCAAGGGCATGGTTCAGGTTTTGGGTTTAGGGTTCATAGTCAAGTGTCAGGCTTGGAAAGGGTCAGGGAACGTAGAAAAATGGCTATAAACTCGCGGGGAAATAGTCAAACAGCTCTAGTTGGGGCCCTGATCCCTTAAGCCCTAAACCCCTAAATCCGAACTCGCTAAGCCCCTACACTTGTCTGAGCCGTCCGCGGAGTGCCGCCGAAGATGCTGAAGGTCTGGAAAGTCTCCGGTGAGGAATTGATCCTTGGTCCCCCAAGTGGGTAGTTCTAGGGTTTAGGGTCTAGGGTTTAGGGTCTTAGGGTTTAGGGTTTAGGGTCTTAGGGTTTAGGGCCTTAGGCTTTAGGGTCTTAGGGTCTAGGGTTTAGGGTCTTAGGGTCTTAGGGTCTTAGGGTTTAGGGTCTTAGGGTTTTAGGGTCTTAGGGTTTAGGGGTGAACCGCTTGGAGTCCCTCTGATAAGGGTGCCTCTACTATACTTGGGATCTAGAAAGGTCCCTAATTTAGAGAACTGCCCTATGAATCCTGCAGTGCCCATAGTAAGGAATAGACCATACTTCCCATAGTGTAGGGTGCCTTAGCGCAATGCAGGATTTATATATTGGGAACCTTGAAAAGGGGGCCGTAACTGTAGAGAACTACCCTAGTGCCCTACTTGGAGCGTCGGGGGACTTAGTAAGTAGTTATTTTATAGACTTATAAGTATCATAACCCCAATTAGGATCCCTTTTAGGGTACTTATAAGTCTATAAAGTATCTACTTACTAAGTCCCCTGACCCTCCAAGTAGTGCCCTAGGGGAAGGATTCCTTTTTGGGTTTATAGGCACCGAAGTAGTCGCGACTTTTGGGGGGATTTCCCAGCACTCCCAGAGGGTACCTTTTTGGGTTATTCCCCAGAGGGCCCAGTACCCCTTAAGTAAGGAATATACCTTACATTATAGGGGCCTTAATATCATGGTTTAAGGTATAGTATATTCGTTACTTAAGGGGTATCTGGCTCTCTGGGTCTCAAGGTACGATAGATCACCGAGCAGTAGAGTTTGATTGCTTGAAGGGTTTGTAGAGCCTTGTTACCATCTGTTCCCCCTTCTACATTCGCGACTCAGGAACAAGGGTACGCTTCACTTCTCCGCATCATGATTCTTAGTGTTCCTGTTATCATTATTGATATTGCTCTTATTCTTATGATTACTACGGGGATATGGGGAACCAAGGATTGCGCTCCCAGCAGAGGTCGTAGAGGAGCTGCGCGATGTGCGGACTCTGAAGCAGCATCTCCAGAAACTCTGCGGACAGCCGCGGTTCCGACAGAAGCTCCTCCGTGATGGCGTGGTGCTGGAGGAGGCAGACATCCTGGAGGTGCTCTCTGGACTCGCAAGGACTACCCCTAGAAGTCCAACAAAGAAATTAAAACACCCTAGACCTAAGTAGAGCATATGAGCCCCATACAGCCCAAGGTGCCTTCTGACCTCCAGCATGTGATCCTCTCATTTGCGAGCTCCTCTGCCTACGAAGTCTTTCAGTTCCATGAGGCAGCTGAGTGTGGCTTGACCGAAAGAGTGGAGGACTTGTGCCTTGGCCATTATTGGAGGCCACCCTAAGCCCTAAACCCTAAACGCCGTCACACATAAAGAAGAACCCGAACCCTCAACCCGAAACCCTAAACCCAAAACCCTGTAAAAAAAAACCCTAAACCCTAACGCCATTTTTGTTTGGCCTCGGAAGTTTCAGTGTTATTGTGGTGCCTTTCTGGTATCAGCCCTCAGGGCTTCAGGCTTTGGGATTTGAGGGTCTTGGGGTCTCAGGCGAGGGGCTTTCCGTTTTTTTTTTCGGGTTCGGGGTTTGGGGAGTTTGTTTTGCGGATCCTCAGCCCAAAATACTTTCTCCAAGCCCTAACCCCTAAATCCTAAACCCTTAAACCCTAAACCCTCTCTAAACCCCAAAGCCCTAGAAAAGAGCCCCCTGAACCCTAAACCCCAAATCCCAGCCCCCGAGCCCCCAAAGCCCTTCGGCCCCGATCCAGGTTACAGCAGCCCCTGGATCCGGACTCCCACCATTCCCACTCGCCGACGCCCCTGGGCTCAGCGTGCACAGAAGGCCACGTGGAAGCGACTCGGCTACCCCCGGAGACTCCAATATCCCTGAATTAAGGAATATATACCCTAGATTATAATAGGAACCCTAATAAGATTTAAGGTATGTTCCTTAAAAAAAGGGATAATGGAGTCTCTTTGCCTCCCAGTAACCCACAGAAGCCACTTGGGCAGTTCTCTAAATTAGGGTCCCTTTTTGGGTCCCCAATGTAGTACGGCACCCTTATAAAATGGACCCCTAAAAGGGACCCTAGTTTAGAGAACTGCCCACTTGTCTTAGCGTTCCAGTAGTAACAAAACAGCTTCCAGTTTAATGATTTTCTTATATGCAAAGGACCCCCGTAGTACACTTTTGTCCTTTTGTTTTGGTGTCTCCTGTTTGACACCGACTAGTAGGAGAACCAGCGCCCGAACCTAGGTAGTGAAGTTGCTGTTGGAGGCAAAGGCCCAGCCGGATATGGATTTTGTAAACAACATTGAGCAACTCATCTCGCCGATCTGTGCAGCTTTCTATGAAGTGAAACGTGGCGATGACCGTGAAGAAATCGTGAAGCTTCTCTTGGATGCCAGAGCAGATCCAAGCAAAAGGTTCGGGCAAGCCGGTAAGGAACGGACGCCCCTGGGCGTGGCGTGTGAAAGGGGCTGTGTGAAGGTGGTGCGGTCGCTTTTGGAGGCCCGGGCCGATGTAGACTGCGAGTCAGCCGTCGTGCAAGTGGATAGAGAGCGCCTTACCATCGTTTCTTGACTGTTGCAGAGCATTATTTTCACTCCCAAGACGGTTTTTGACCGCCCTCTCTGGTAGTAGATTGTACAGCACCTCAGCAAAGCCCAAGGTTCAGTGTTTTGTCTCGCCCCTTGTCCTCGCATCGCGTTCTGGCAACGTGGAGATCGTACGACTACTCCTAGAAGCGGCTGCCCATGCGAATGATGGACGCGAGAGAGGTGAGGCCCTCGCCGTGGCGAGGGACACTGGCCATGCAGCCATTGCACGCTTGCTGACTGAAGCCTGCGCTGCTCCGGATGTGCAAAGGTGAGCCGCTGTGTTTTCATACAAGACATGGGGAGATAGGGCAGGCCTCTGCCAGAGTTTCGCTCCACCCCAACCTTCAAATTCAAACCTAGACACTAAACCCTAAACCCTAAGCCCTAAGCCCCCAAACCCGAACTCTGAAGTTGGTAAACCTTCGGAGCAAGTACCAAATCGGAGGGAATGAACGTTTTGGACCCGAGCGCAGCAGGTTCTTCAGGGTTTAGGGTTTAGGGAGTTTCGGGCAATGTTTAGGGGTTAGGGTGGTGTCTGCATCCTAGATCTTCCAGACGGTCAGGCCTGGTCTAGACTTTAGGCAAATTTCTGGCTTCAGGGTTTAACTTTACCTTAAACCCTAAACCCTAAACCCTGAACTAAACCCTAAACAGGGTTTCGGGTTTGGGGTGGCTCAAGGGGATTCCAAGTCCTGCGTGCGCGCGAAGACGCGAATCCGCTTGCTGTACTTCTTCAAGCAGAACCCCTGGGATCTCAAGATCTTAAACCCAGAGACTCCATTATCTCTAATGAAGGAATATACCTTGAATTTTTATAGGAACCCTAATAAGAATCAAGGTATATTCCTTAATTAAGGGATATTGGAGTCTCTGGGAAGCTTCAAACCTAAACCCTACCTGGACCCTAAAGAACCTACCATTTTGGGGCTCGTCATTAGGATTTCTTTATATAAGTCCTCAAAAATGTAAGTTCTTTGGAGTTCAGGTATATAAGCCCTAACCCGAAGGGCCCAAGTACCTAATAATCATACTGAACTATTATCCGAAACCTAAGTACCTAATTGTCGGGTCCTTTGGATACTTGGGGTAAACCCAGCGCAGAGACCTTGTCAAACCTTTTAAGCCCTAAACCCTAAACCCTAAAGCACTGGCGCCCTAGACCCTAGATAAAGCCAAAAGTACTGGAGCCCTAAAGCTTAAATCAAATGTAATAAACTTCAATAGAATAAAATAGAATGGAATAGAATAGAACACACCATAGCTTAATAACGTATAGTTTCACATGCCATCAAATAAGACATATATAGATGGAGCAACAAAACACCCGAAAATTAGCACACCCGATAAAACCTAACTTTAAAAGCATATAAACTCGGACCCTTAGCCTGAGTCAACTTAGGGCCTAGCGTTCCTTGAGCCCCAACCTTCACTGAACCCTAAACTCTAACCCCGGGTTTAGGGTTTTGGGTCTAGTACCCTATTATATGACCCAGTAAGCTGTAGACTTTGGTCTAGACCACTCTACGAAGCATCATGTCGATTTCCGTGGATGTGCATCTGCTGAGTGGCAAGCGTGCCGCTATGGAAGTGGAGGTGGATGCATCCGTTGAGTCATTGAAGCACCGCGCCCAGAGTGCTCTGGCGGTCCCGAGTAGGGGGCGGCTGCTGAATTCTGCTGGAGAGGTGCTTGACGGAGCACAAAGTGTCACAGAAGCGAAGTTGAGGAGTGGAGACGTTCTCACTCTACATATGAACCAGGTCCAGGTTAAAGCCTCCAGGCAAGGTGGCGTTTCCATTGCAATCGCCGCTCTCTTGAGTGATGGATCTGTGGCCACCTGGCCTGAAGCCCACTCTGGTGGCTACAGGAGTGCGGTACAGGATCTGTCGAATGTGCAGCAGATGCAAGCTTCTGATGGTGCATTTGTTGCAATCCGGGGCGATGGATCTGTGGTCACCTGGGGGCCAGCCGATTTTGGTGGCGACAGCAGTGCGGTACAGGAGCAGCTGCGACATGTGCAGCAGATCCAAGCTTCTCATGCTGCATTTGCTGCAATCCGGAGTGATGGATCTGTCGTCACCTGGGGCAATGCACGCTTTGGTGGCGATTGCAGTGCGGTGCAGAGTCAGCTGACGAATGTGCAGCAGATCCAAGCTTCTGTTGGTGCATTTGCTGCAGTCCGGAGTGATGGATCTGTCGTCACCTGGGGGCCAGCCGACTATGGTGGCGACAGCAGTGCGGTACAGGAGCAGCTGCGAGATGTGCAGGAGGTCCAAGCTTGTTGTTTGGTATTTGCTGCAATCCTGGGCGATGGATCTGTCGTCACCTGGGGTGAAGCCCACTCTGGTGGCGACAGCAATGCCGTACAGGATCAGCTAACGAATGTGCAGCGGATCCAAGCCTCTTTTGGTGCATTTGCTGCAATCCGGAGTGATGGATCTGTCGTCACCTGGGGGCCAGCCGACTACGGTGGCGACAGCAGCGCGGTACAGGAGCAGCTGCGAGATGTGCAGCAGGTCCAAGCTTCTCACAGTGCATTTGCCGCAATCCGGAGTGATGGATCCGTGGTCGCCTGGGGGCCAGCCGACTATGGTGGCGACAGCAGTGCGGTACAGGAGCAGCTGCGAGATGTGCAGCAGGTCCAAGCTTCTCATAATGCATTTGCTGCAATCCGGAGTGATGGATCTGTGGTCACCTGGGGGGTTGACGGCTCTAGTGGCGACAGCAGTGCGGTACAGGATCAGCTGACGAATGTGCAGCAGATCCAAGCTTCTCATGCTGCATTTGCTGCAATCCGGAGTGATGGATCTGTCGTCACCTGGGGGCCAGCCGACTACGGTGGCGACAGCAGCGCGGTACAGGAGCAGCTGCGATATGTGCAGCAGGTCCAAGCTTCTCATGCTGCATTTGCTGCAATCCTGGGCGATGGATCTGTCGTCACCTGGGGTGAATTTATCGTCACCTGGTGACAGCACGGCGGTGCAGGATCAGCTGCATGATGTGTAGCAGACGTTTCCTGCAAGGCAAACAGGGAGAGGCAGCTTCCTGGTTTCATGGGTTTCCTGTTGTTCCTGTAGGTTTCCTAGGTCCCCACTAGTATTTACCCTTTTGCACTGGGTGTGTCTATGAAAAACTGAACAGTTGGAAAAAGGGTACCTTTCTTATTCAGTGGATACTGGGAAGCCGCGTTTCTTTCCTAGTCATGCACGTTTACGATCACATGTTTTGTTCAAACTTTGCTTTTCAACACTGCCGCACTTGCTTGAAGTTATTTGGTCATCTGAATCTCTGCGAGTCCGGCTCCCACCTCAATTAGCCCTAAACCGTAAACCCTAAACCCAAACGCCCCCATTTGTGTTGAATCTTCGTCAGGTCAAGGAGGAGCTGGCCCACGCGAGGAGCCTCAAGAGGGGCTGCATGTTTCTAGGTCTTAGAAGAACTCGTGGTTCAGGTAGGGTTTCGGGGTTTAGGGTTTAGGGCTTAGGCTAAGGGCTTAGGTAGGGTGTCAGAAAATTTTGGGGTGTGGGGCTTCTAGTAGGTTTCGGGTCTGCAGGGTTTAAGCGCCCAAGTTTAGAGAGAGGGTTTAAGGTTTTGGGCTTTGGGTTCTTCAGCCTTGGTGTCTGAGGGTTTTTGAGGGTTTCTGCAAAGGCTTTTTAGGCTTGCAGCTCTATGACGGCTTTAGTCAAAGTAATTGGAGAAGACTCTCGGTGTGGATACAGTATACTGTGCACGTATATACGGCTGTGAAAAATGCCCGCACTATAAAGAGGAAGCGGGAAACCTTGGACGTCAGCCAAGTCTTTGGAGACTGGGTTCGAGTTGTTCAGATTATAGCTGCTGTTCACGGCATACTACACAAGGCCTCCAAAGCGCAAAAGCACTAGAATGAGAATGGCGGAGGAGGAAGCGGATCTCGAGGAAGACCCGGAAGTAGAGGCTACCGGAGATGCCGTTCACTTGCGAGCTGTGTGGCCAGGGGATTGAAAAGACGCAAGGTCTCGGCAAGCACTGCAACAGTAAACGGTGCAAAGAGCGACAGCAGCGCGAGCAGCAACCGCAGCCTGCTTTCAAGGCCGCCTTTTGCATTAATAGCTTTGAGGGTTCGAGGATGTATGAACTCCATAGCCCCCGAAAAGTCTCAGGCTCTAAACTCCAAAGCCCTTAAGCCCTAGACAGAACTTGAACAGGAACCCTTAACCCCAACTCACGAAGCCTGTCGAACTTACGACCGCCCTTCCCCGTCGGATTCGTAACGACTCTTTGAACCCGGCACCAGGAGTTCAGCCCCCAAGCCTAAGATCAAGCACACATGCCACAAGCAAGCCCAAAACCTTCACCGGCTGGAAGACTCGAGTTCTTGGGTTTAGGGTTTAGGGGTTTAGGGGTTCAGGGTTTAGGGTTTAGGTTCGAAAGCCCTAGACCTTAAGCTCTGTGCAGGATCAAAGACATAACGCCCGATGTCATGCTGTGCAAGACGGTGAAGTGGCCCGCATGCAAGGAATGCACCAGGTGCACGAAGCGTTGATAATAATGGTCGTGTTAACACAAGAAGTAGAAGTATGCAATGATATGGCAAAATGCACAAACAGGCAGACACAAACACAGCCATGCACGCGTGTAGGTAGGTAGGTAGGTAGGTAGGTAGGTAGGTAGGTAGGTAGGTAGGTAGGTAGGTAGGTAGGTAGGTAGGTAGTTTGGGCTTATTTACGGGTTCCAGGGTTTGGGGTTTAGGGTTTCGGGTTCAGGATGTATGGAAATGTGAGGCTGCACCGGATGTTTGGGCCCCCAAAAACGTGGCCTCAAACCCCTGATGAAAGTTCCTCTCAAATCAGGGGCTCGACCAGAAAGCGACCCTAAAGCCCCAAACCCCAAACCCCAAACCCCAAACCCTAAGCCCTAAACCCTAAACCCTATAAACCCTAAACCCTAAACAATAAGCCCTAAACCGTAAACCGAAGAAGCCAAGACTTTTCAAGGTCGGAGGTGGGTTAAGACCTGGGCTACTCCCGCTCCCGAATCCGGAAGCCCTGAAAGCATGTTACATCCCTACATCGTCAGGGTTTAGGGTTTAGGGCTTAGGGCACGCCACCCCCTGTGAGCAGGAATCAAGTCCATGCGTAACCAGCCAGATCTTAACTCTTCAACCCGAGGCGCCGAAGCCCTGAAGAGAGGTTTGAAAAACTTGTTGAAGTTTACTATGACCATTACTTCACGTTGAGTTTTCTCTGTTGGGACAGGCCTGTCCCGGGCGTACGCCAAACTTACCCTGTTAAT